GATGATGTAGAGTGTACTTAGGGAGAGTCACATGGAGAGAAAACATTCTCTCAGGCTTTCACAGAGAGCACACTGGCCAAGCAATGGCCATGACTCATCCACATGGCTCACACTGACGAAGGATCTACAATCTGAGGTACAGGATCTCAGGATAAACCCTGAGGGTATTTGATTGACTTTAGGAGATACAGAAGCTACAATTCCTGTTATATAGGTCTTGCTTTATCTTGGTCTTAACCATGCAGCAGAAAAGTATAAAAACGAAGAATAAAAAGTAAGGCCATATTAATATGCTGAGCTGTAAAAGGCTCAAGTCAACAACTTCTGACATTACCATTCCTACGGAAAACTCACTACTATTGTGGACTACTGGACTATATCGGAATATTTTGCTGAATTCATGCACCTATAATATTTAAATGACAATGGAATAAATACCCTTCTCTGACAAAACTAAACAAAAAAGGGGCTACAAATGAATGACCATTTCGTATCTGCATATTCAAAATAATTAGGATAGATACAACGCTACATTCTCTTAATTCAATGAATAGAGAGATTTGTTCTAACAGTGTTTGTAAACAGGATATCATGTCTGCATCTTGTACAATGAATAACCACCAAGACAACAATATGTAATGTATTAATTATTGAACCTGTCCTACTAATGGGATTTGAAACTGTCTCACTGCTATTATTTCTCAATAAAATTATTGAAAAGAAAAAAAAAGAAGCCTGAGGTAGGAGGATTGCTGTGAGTTCAAGGCCAGCCTGGGGTGCAGAAGTGAATTTAAGGCCAGGCTGTCTCAAAAAAAAAATTTTTTTTGACTCATCAAAATGGGCCCAATGACCACTATTCTCAATGACCATAGTCCAGAGATTCTAGACGTGGGTAAGTAAAGGATGATGTAAAGTAAAAGAGCACTTGGGTGGGAAGGCATATAGGGATATAGTATTTCCCTGTATTTTATAACATGGCCTCTCTAGATTTTGGTGTAAAACAAAGCAAGCAAACTCTGCAGATCTTATCAGTTCATATTTGAATCACACCTTTCATGACTGGCAAATGTTATAACCAGTACAATGACAAAAGAACAAACATCTTTTATGCCACTGTAAGATATGAGAAAATAAAAAGAAATTTAGGTACACATAGAAATAGCACAATGGGGAAAATTTACAAGGAAGAGTACCTAAAACATTTAAGACAATGCTTTGATTTTTTAATCATGGAGCTAAAAATTATGTGAACATTCTTTTTTTTTTAAAGTGTATTTGTTATAAGATCTCACTATCAGATGTAGAGTGATCCTCCTGTTTCCACCCTCCTCAGATCTGGGATTATAGGAGTGCACCACCATGCCCGGACTTGGTGCCAGCTCAGCATGCCCGGGGTTGGGGCCAGCGTGGCAGGTGGTGCCAAGGATTGAATGCCAGTCACTCCCTATGCTTATCTATGCAGGCTCTTAGTCCACTGAGCTATCTCACTGGCCACGAACGTTCTAATAGGATATCACTTCTGCTTATAAATTACCTATTTTCTTTGAATCCCAGTAGTTTCATTTCCTTTGTTACTGTTTTGTTTGTTGTTTTTGTATTGAGGTGCACAAATTACCTATGTATTTTTGCTATTAGCCCCTTATCAGACATATGGTTTGAAAATATATTCTCCCATTCCAGAGGTTGTCTTCTCATTTTGCTGATTTCTTGCTTTGCTATCCAGAAGCTTAACAAGGTGCTAAAATAGACAGACAAATAAGCTGTATAACTACCTATATTCTGAAATTAATGCTTTACCTCCTATTCTCTTGTCCTCACTGGTGAGAACTCATTCATTTTCCATAGGAAATGACCAAATTGTTCCTTGTGAGAATATTATTATTAAATAGTAACATGACATTATTAAATATTTCATTAAATCCTCAGGGGACATGAGAGATTGATTTTAGCATCTATGTCATCTAATATTTTATCTAGGATAACTAATATTTTCATTTGTCTGGACCAGTTGTGCCACTAGTGTCAGGTATGTGGAGAGAAAGTTTCCCCCTGACATTCTAAAAGTAAAATTACAAGTCACATAAACTCAAAATTATTTAGTAGTGTAATATGAAATTGTTTATAATATTCAGGGTCTGATGGATGGATTTCACTGTGAAAGCCCAAATAAAGTGAAACAGGATATCTGTGGGCAGAAAGAACTGAAATGGTGCCAAATAGAAACCATAAGTGGTATCAAACATTGCTCAGAACTTAGAAGAATCTCTTTGCTTTAAAACAAGAACTTTCTTACCACAAAGACGGGACTTGTTCCCTATATCCTAATTACTAAATCCAATAGGATTTGATGGCTAAAATAGTCTGTTAATTTCCTTCCCATACTTAAGAGAAGATGTTTGGGAGAAGAAAGTATGTTCTGCTAAACTGAACTTTGAAAATGTGATTGTTTTTCCTCCTTGAATTTCAGTGGCACAGCTGAGTCCCGTTGCAGTCCTTGCTAGGGTTGTGTTCAGATTTAAATGAAGTTTAAGTTCAGGCCATCGGTACAGTCTACAAACCACTCTTCCAGTCCTGAAGAGCATGGGCCTGGACACTATCAACCAGACATGGGTGAGCGAGTTCATTCTCCTGGGGCTGACCAGTGACTGGGGCACTCAAGTCTTCCTCTTTGTCCTCTTCCTGGTCATGTACTTAGTGACAATGGTGGGCAATTCCCTCATCCTTCTCCTCATCAGCCTGGACAGCAGGCTGCGCACCCCAGTGTACTACTTCCTCAGTGTTCTGTCCCTGGTGGACCTTTGTTACGGAAACAGTGTAGGCCCACAGATGCTGGTCCACTTCCTCTCAGCCCCAAAGCGCATCCCATTCTACAGCTGTGTGCTCCAGCTCTGGGCTTCCTTGGCATTGGGTGGCTCCGAGTTCTTCCTGCTGGGGGCCATGGCCTACGACCGCTACGTGGCAGTGTGCGTCCCGCTGCACTACACAGCTATCATGCACGGGCGGCTGTGCCTGACCCTGTCTGCCAGCTGCTTGGTGGCTGGCTTCTCCAACTCGCTGATGGAGACGATCCTCACCTTCCAGCTCCCCCTGTGTCACAACGTCATTAATCACTTCGCCTGCGAGACCCTAGCTGTGCTTCGGCTGGCCTGTGTGGACGTTTCCTTCAACAAGGTCATGGTGGCCTTCTCAGGATTTCTAGTGATCTTGCTTCCTTGTTCTCTGGTCCTGTTCTCCTACGCGCGTATAGTCACTGCCATCTTGCACATTCGTTCTGCTCAAGGGCGTCGCAAAGCCTTTGGGACCTGCGCTTCTCACCTCACTGTGGTCTGCATGTGTTTTGGGGCTACCATCTTCACGTACCTGGGGCCGCGCTCCGCCTCCTCTGTGGACAAAGAGAAGATGGTAGCTCTGTTCTATGCGGTGGTGGCCCCCATGCTCAACCCCTTGATTTACAGCCTGAGAAATAAAGATGTGATGGCTGCTCTCCAAAAACTGTTAGAGAAATTCAGATAGGAGTTTGAAGATTCTTAAGGTTCAAGACTCTGAGAATTTCATGTTCCCTCACAAGAAAACAGAACAACGGGTATATATAGACAGCTCTTGTACTCACAGAAATGAAGGGTCAGACGCTTGCATCCAAAAATATATTCCTCTGAATGCTTAATGAAAGGGTCAATAACTGATAATTTAGGTGTCAGCAATCCATGAGACCTCCTTTTAGATCCTCTCTTCTCCAGTATGAGTGATCTTTGGACTTCACACCCCCAGGTATGGTTTTGTTAGTCAATCAGCGCACAAAAAGATTTCTGGATTCATCCAACGGACCTGGATTCTGCAGCTTGTTCTGCCTCTCGTAAGCTATGCAATCATGTACCTTGTGAAAGTATTTTACGGCTGGGCTTTTCCTTTTTTGCTAAACAATAAGATAGAACTTAGCTAAGCTAGTGACTGTAAGTAATTGGCATAAAACATGCACCATGGAGTTGATGCTGCGTTTCGTTGATTCATTCTCTTCACTTCCGTCAACCTCGCTTTCCATTATGAATTGCAGGGAACTTTCACTTTTCCAGGTCCTGTGAAGATTCCCAGTTATCAGCTGTCTGAAAAAAATATACTTACGTTATTAATAGACAGCATGCAAGCTCACTTTTCCTTGGATGTAACTTACGGAAGCTACAGCTGAAATTACCTTATTTTGAGATGTCCGCTGACTTCTGATTGCTCTTGCCAAAAAAAAAAAAAAAAATTGCATCAATTGTAAATAAACTGTGTGAAATTTATGACATGCTCATTTTATTTCTATAAATAATTTTTAGAAGTATATTTATAAAAGTGAACTGGGATCTCCAGAATTTGTAATTAAGATATCCATTATTTAGCCTTAAAATCATGATCAAGACTTGTTAAGTAAATTTTCAATAAAAACTTACATTATCCAAAATAATTTGCACTAACTTAATTTTACCTAATGGAGATGTGTATGTGTTTGTATGTGTGTGTGTATGTGTGTGTGCATGCATATGGTAAACAAGTGGGAATATTAATCATGAAACAATTTATAGAATCAATTTATTTATAATGTCATTTGAAATACATTGAAAAATAGAAGAAGGTTCTAGATGGGTATGTTTTACTGTTGCATAAGATAGGGGATAATTACTTTCTGACCAAGTTATTGTAACTATTCCTTCTCTCAGTGTTTAATCCCATCATGGGATAATTTGCAAAGTTCTTCATTTATTCTTTGTTTATTAATTTTATTGAGAGACAAATAGCAATGAGACAGTTTCAAAACCAATTAATAGGACACTTTCAATAATTAATACATTGCATACTGTTGTCTTCTTAGTGGTTATTCATAGTACAAGATGCAGACATAATATCCTGTCCAAACATATTAGTACAAATCTTTCTTCTCATTGAATTAAGAGAAATTAGCTGTATATCTAGCCTAACTATTTTGTATATGCATATACAAATGGTCCTTCATTTATATTCCCCTTTTTTGTTTAGTTTTGTCA